GGGGGTGCCTACCATTTGGGATGTCTTCATCTAGGGAAGCCATTAGAACAAGAAATAAGCATGAAGTGGGTGGCTGAAGTCAATTTAATTTCAGGCCTTTGGAAAGAATTAAAATAAAAGCAGGTTTGCAAATCCAGCCAAGTTCATCAAAGTCAGAAGCCAGATAGGTAGGGACCACAGGTTACACCTTAAGGAGCCATAATAAGGGTATGTGAGCCTCAGGGGATCAGTTTGTGTGCTCTTCAATACTTCTGCACGGTGACACTCACCGGGAGTTGGATAGGTATCAACGTGGCCAAGGAAGTGAGAAAACACAAATTTACCACATGACCAAAGACAGGCTGTTTCTCATTTATAAACATGAAGGTTTGAGCTCATTCTTGAGTTAGCTGAATTTTATTGCAGCCAAGAGATCAAAAAATGGGATCAGACCACCTGACAGCTGCAACTATGTGACAACCTCCAAACTGTGCAAGCCAGTAACAAAGAGACTACACCTACAGCCACTGGCCACGTGTGGTGACCCAGCACTTGAATATAAACAATCAAAATTAGATGTACTCTAAGCATAAAATATATGCTGGATTTTGAAGACTATACAAATAGAGCATAAGCTATCTTAACAATGCTTATAAATTAACACATATAGAAATGATACTATTTTAGATAAAATATATTATAAATTTCACCTTTTTTTGTTTAAAGTACCTTCTAGAAAATTCAAAATCGTACAAATATGGCTTGCATTAAAGTTCTCTTGAATAATAGTCTATATTATTATACTGCTACAGCTGTTAGAAACTTAGAGATCTGAATGCATTTCTTCATAGATTTAGAAAGTCTCAAAAGAGGCTAAGGAACCTGCCAAAGTCACAGAAATAGGGGCGGAACCACCTCTCTCACCTCCACTTCCAAGTGCAAGTGCATTATTGGGGAATGTATCCCTCTGCGTCCTTGTATTTTTCGTTTTTTGTTTTGTTTTTTGTTTTTGTTTGTTTGTTTGTTTTTGAGACAGTCTCACTGTGTCATCCAGGTTGCAACCTCCAACTCCTGGGTTCAAGAGATTCTCCTGTCTCAACCTCCTGAGTAGCTGGGATTACCGGCGTGCACCACATGCCTGGCTAATTTTTTGCATTTTTAATAGAGATGGGGTTTCACCAGGTTGACCAAGCTGGTCTCAAAGTCCTGACCTCAAGTGATGTGCTCACCTCAGCCTCCCAAAGTGCTGGGATTATGGGCATGAGCCACCACACCTGGCCTATCCTTGCTTTTTTTTTTTTTTTTTTTTTGAGACAGAGTCTCACTCTGTCCCTGGGCTGGAATGCAGAGGCGTGATCTCAGCTCACTGCAACCTCCTCCACCGGGTTCAAGCGACTCTCCTGCCTCAGCCCCCTAAGTAGCTGGGACTATAGGCACTCACCACCATGCCCAGCTAATTTTTGTATTTTTAGTAAAGACGAAGTTTCACCGTGTTGGCCAGGATGGTCTTGATCTCTTGACCTTGTGATCTGCCTGCCTTGGCCTCCCAAAGTGCTGGGATTATAGGGATGAGTCACCACACCTGGCCTTTCCTTGTATTTTTTAAATAATATACTTAGTAGCTAATATTAAAGCCTAAGTACTTTTTTCCAAAGTAGTGCAAACTTTCTATACCTTAAATAATACTTTGTACACTTAATCTAATATGGTTAGGGGTAATATAGGCTCATCCTAGTCAATCAAAAATATTCCATTTCTGATTTCTCCCTGGGCTGTGTCGCTTTACTGGTGCATTCTGACAGCTTCTACAGTGATAGATATGCTCACTAACTAAAGGCTGGATACTTTATGTCAGATATATACCTGAATTCAGAGTTATACTCCACTTGCCTAAAGCCAGCAGTTTTCTTCATGAATTCATCAGGCCGTTTCCTCTATATAAACTCTGCCTCTACCTACAATTAAAAGTTTCATTTTCTAACCTAACAAAACAAAACAAAAAAATCAATCACATATCCTGATAAACATTTCATAAACCTCATGTTTTTCACAAAACATCTTACTTTAACAAGGTAAATTAAATAAAACTTTGGTTTACATAAGGTACAAGATAAGCAAAGTTTTGATTCTGAGTACTTTAACTACAGATGTTACCATTGATAAAAATGATTAAGAGTATGCACCAACTCTAGGGCAAGTATACTCCCATCATTTTAGGCATGCTGAATGCAAGTGGTCATGTGATACCCAAGTATAAATGACTAGTACATTTGTGAGTTACATCAAAGGAGGTAAAAACTGAAGTTAAAACACAATGTTCCTAAGAGGAAAAAGTACCTACCACATTAAAAAAAAATAGCCTTGTGGAATACTTATAAATTATGGTATCCTTAATGAAGAAATGCTTGAAAAGACTGGATATGAAATGTAGGGGAAGTAGGTAGTCTACGTGTCAGGAGGCTGACAGTGGCAGCAGAGAGATCACAGGCACTCAAAACTGTAATTAGATCTAGCCATAAGGAATTTATTAAGACGGTACCAACTTTCACTTACTCATGATCTGGGTTTTGTCTCAAATACTCTATTGAAACTACTTTCTTGAAACTCCATATTCAGTGGTAATTTTTCAATCTCTCCTTAAAAATGTTACCACTGCCACTTTCTTGAAACTCCATTTTTGGTTTGTTTACTTGACAGAACAGACTGGTGGTTGTCCTATTCTTCTATTTTTTCATTTGTTTTCCTTTTGGACTTTGGCTCAGACCCCATAATTATATGCTTCACAGTGTGTGGACTTGTCTGTCTTCCCTCTTTAACCTTTATTCATTGGAATCCCATGCTTTCAAACATTCATCTAACTGCAGAGAATATTTCAAGACTACATGACCTAGCACATGCTTTCTCCACCTATCTGCTGACTAAAGAAAAGGAAGAAGAAAGGAGAGAGAATGAGGGAGGGAGAGGTGGAATGGGAGGTTCCATGAAGAAGGGAAGGCCTGGGAGGTGGAGCAACCAATGCTCCAAGATTTGGGGATCCAAGATTTGGGGATGTTATGCATAGCCTATGTGGATTTAAGATAAAGGAAGGATGACATCCTCAACTTACCTGTTTTTGTCACTGAGGTTTAGAAAAGGAGAAAAGATGTGAGCGCGATGCTGAAGTTATATGAGAAGGCAAGTAGATGGTAAAATAAGGAATATAACTATGGGTATGGTAAGGAGTCACAATGAGTTTATTCTTTCATTAAAGATAACTAAGCTGGGGATGCTTAAGTTAGGAAGAACACAGTATATATCCATCCTCAGAGGGTCCATTTGGATGAAATTCTTACTAAGGAAAGTTGGGAAATTTTCCCCTAGTATATCCCTAAATATATCTCCCTAGAACACTAAAATCAATTGAAATTGGTATTGCGTGAGAAAAAAAAATCCATGGCCAAATAATTTTGAAAAACACTGGGTTTAAAAACATTAAATAGGTTTGGCTTCTTTGCTGTAAGACATGACAATGAATTTTATAAGCTAATAATATGTAATATGAATCCTGAAGAAAGATAAAGACTATTTTCCCAACTGAACATTGTTTTTACTCTCCACAGAGCATCTGAGGGACCAATAAAAATCATGGTTCTATTTCATTGCCTTTATTGGTATATAATGTGTATCCAATCCTATATTACGTGTATATGTGCTAAGAGAGAGAATATCTTACTGTTACCTTTGAGGATAAAACATTCTAATTAGGAAAATTAGAGAGAAGCTAAAGAGAGTTCATAATACAGTCATAGATCCTATGAGATCAGACTCCAAATCCAGAAGGAAAAGAACCAGACAACACAATATAAATGTCACAATTCTCAATTCTTTGCTTTGCTAAACCTATCACCGTAAGTAGAGGCCAAATGGAGAAAACAGATGAGGTATAATAAACAGGAGAAAATATATCCATGATATTAACCTTCAGCTCAACTCCACCTTTTCTTTATAAATGGATACAAACATACAGACAGATAGAAGGAAGAGGTTCTAATGTTCAACGGCAGAGTAGGGTGAATACAGTTAGCAACAGTGTATTATATATTTCAAAGTAGCTAAAAAACTTGAAATATTCCTAATTCATAGAAATGATACTCTAAGTAATGAATACCTCCAAAGCTTGACTTGATCATTATACATTCTATGCATATAACAAAATATCACACATACCCCATATACATGTAAAATATACCAACAAAAAAAATAAAAATTGGACCAATTAATAATCTTTAAGGCAAAACGATAGTAAATATTCTGAGTTGTATTTCTACTAGTAAAAAAAATGCAATAATTCAATTGTGTTCATGCATTTCTCCTTACTATGACCAAGTTATTAAGAATAAATGGAAAGGGCTAGACGTGGTAACTCACACCTGTAATCTCAGCATTTTGGGACGCTGAGGTGAGCAGATCACCTGAGGTCAGGAGTTGAAGACCAGCCTGGCCAACATGGTGAAACCCTATTTCTACTAAAAATATAAAAATTAGCCAGGTGTGGTGATCGGTGCTTATAATTCCAGCTACTTGGGAGGCTGAGGCAGGAGAATTGATGGAACCCGGGAGGCGGAGGTTGCAGTGAGCCAAGATGGCACCACTGCACTCCAGCCTGGGCAACAGAGTGAGATTCCGTATCAAAAATAAGTAAGTAAATAAATAAAAAGAAATGGAAACAGGTCGGCTTATATTTTAAAATGAATTTAACTATCTATAATCTTCATTTGAATGATTTGACCACAACCCTACCTCATGGAACGGGAAATAATACAGCATAGTTGAGGGAGCGAAGCACACATTAGCAGGATCAAGTATATATTCTTGAAGACAATAACAAAGTCCCCTGTTACTCTTAGGAGCTTTGATTCACCTGAGAGATATATGTGTGTTAGGGGATTGGAAAGACTGAGAATGAATAAAAAGAACTGCCACAAGAAAACAATAAGAAAGACAGAATTGGCAGAGAACTGGATTCTCTTTCAGGGACCTACCGTTCCATCCCCACCACAGGCCAGAATTCGCAGATTTGGGACTTTCCTATACAATTCAAGCCTGTAGAGGAAACAGAAGAAAAAGTAAACAAAGAACATTTCACTGGCTAGAGCAGAGAGAAAAACAGTGAACAACATGGGTGAGGGTGGTGTCCACTGGAGAAAATGTATAATCATGAGGATGACAATGCTATCATAGGTCCCAAGTAACCACAGGAGGAATGACTCCCACAAGTGGAACAGGTGTAGGCAGCAGGCATTATTTTTGCATGGCCAACATTGGAATTTAAGGGATTTTAGGGTGTCCTAGTTTTTTATTTCCCATAATTTCTATTACATGTCAACATTATTTTCCTCATTCGTTTTGACTTCCTTCTCTTTCTTTTATGTAAGAAATTTTTTTCAGCAAGATGGGAGGCTTCCCTACTACCATTTTTACCACGTCTACAACTCTGTCCAGTCTCTCTCTCAGCTCAGTCACTTACACACCACTTACACCTCCAACCCAAAGTGGGAAGATTGACTGATTTTCTTTATTTCAAACTTGCCTGCTTGAAATAAGATCATTTGTCTTTCCTGTTGACTCTCAGGAAAATGCAGGGACACTGCCCCTGCTCAATCTTTTGCTTAGGTAAAGCTGCTAGTGGCTGTAATCTAGAAAACATCACCTGTTGAGATCACAAATTATGTTTTTTTTCCTGAAAATATTTCCTGTCCTACCATGTTCTTTATGGTCACGTATGAAGTATCTCTCTGGGGTCTAACTAAAGCGATAACATCTTAAGAAAAATAAGTTCCTAAAATGGCACATCCCAGGATAGCAGATTTGCCTTAGCACAATCAAGTACAGAAAAAAAATTAAAATATATGTGTACATTATATACATATACACACGGAGAAAGAGAGAGAATCTTACAGCAAACTCAACTGGCAAAGAAATTTATACATTAAGAAAATAAACTAATTTTCATATTTCCTAATCTCCTGCATGCTTAAAATATGTAACTTATCTATTTTATATAAGAATACTATTTCTCTAGAAATAATCTTTTCCTCTGATATTGTTAGTTATTAAAAAAAATAGCTGGTATCCTTATGTTGTAATATTTATCAGATAATATCTGAACTATCCTAGTAGATGAGTTTCAAACAGGGTACCAGGAAACCAGAGAATAGCAGAAGTGTCCTTGGTCTTTCCCACTGTGTGCCTCTCCACCAAAGGGGAGAAAAGGATATGGGTCACCTACAACCTAGACTTTATTTTACATACTTCTAACAAAAGCAGATAATGAGATTTCTGAGAAGCTCAGAAAAGGAACTGAGCAGGGATTAATCCATCTTCACCACACTTGTGCAGAGACCTCAGGTATAATCAGCTGATACACACACACACACACACACACACACACACACACACACACACTCTCACACACTCTTCCTCCAGTTCAAATGTATATTGACAAAGATGGCTCTACCCTCCACAGACATACATTCCCATTAATGTGCATCTCAAAAGTTGCACATGAAGAGACAGAAAAACAATGAGTCCCTTCTCAATTCACAGATTTGCTGAGAACAATCTACAGTTACACATACGTAAGTAACAAACACACTAGAGGTATTCGGTGAGTTAACAGCCTAGAAGATATGTTTTGAAAGGAACCAACCCATTAAAGAGTAGGAGAGAACGTTAGATGAAGTTTTAAAGGAAGGAGAGTACAGGTGAGAAGGTAGATGACATGGTCAGGAAATACCTCACAAGGTAATCAGATACTGAAGCAGAAAGTTCTCACTTGCCTAAAACACATACGGGCCGTGGAGAATATTTAGAAACTTACGCATCTTTTGGCCCTTCCTGAGAGAGATCAAAGACTTGCCGTGGATTCAGGTACCACATAAACATCTGCAGGACTTTGGTTCCCTGTAAAAAGTAAACAAATACATAAAAAGGCAATAATAGGAAGAAATTTCCCAATAATAACTGCTCATTTAAAAAATAGTTTTTTTAATAATTTTTTTATTTAAAATAATATGCAGGGCACAGTGGCTCATGCCTATAATCCCAGCACTTTGGAAGGCCGAGGCAGGTGGATGGCTTGAGCCCAGGAGTTTGAGAACAGCCTGGGCAACATGGCAAAATCTCACGTCTACGAAAATTGCAAAAATTAGCCAAGTGTGGTGGTGCATGCCTTTAATCCCAGTCCAAGGGGCAGACTGTGCAGTGAGACAAGATCGGACCATAGCACTCCAGCCTGGGTGACAGTAGTGAAATTCTGTCTCAACAAATAAAAATAAGCGAGTGAATAAATGATGAATAAATAATCAAAATAATATCTAATTATAAACAATATAGAAGAGTAGTTAAAATCCTTGGCTTTGGCCATAGATATACATAGGTTGAATGTCGGGTTAGATGTTTATCTAACCTGTGTAACACTGGGAAAGTTTCTTAATTTCATTAAAGCTCAGCCCACCTTTTCTTTAATACACAGACAAGAATGACCAGTTTGCAGACTTCTTGCAAGGATTAAAAGCAATAATTTTTGAGAAGTACATCACAGTGTTCAAAATGCAGTAAGTGCTTGATGAATAATATGTGTTTTACTATTATTACTTAATGTATGAAAATCCATATAGAAAAGTGATTCATCAGCCTATGTAATTTAACATTAATTTTCACTTTATTGTATAGATTTTTATCTGTATTATATAAAATATGGGCAGTATTAGCTAAGTATTAATATAATTCTAGGGAAATACTTTTTTTCTAACTGAAGCAAAAGTATCCCAGGCTCCCAGTATATATATACACACACATACATATGGAAGTTATACATACATAACTTCCTTAGTAAGATCACAGCTTACTTTGACATTTTCAATCTCCATGCCTATATTGGTTTGTTTAAGCCAAACACCTGTCTCTTACATGAACATTTTTGGGGAATTTTAAGTAACTGTGACATTTATAGAGATGATCATTATAGCAGACATAAGGTCACTTTAGAGATCATTTTTAAAGTCGATTGAGCAAACAAAAATGCAAGAAGAATCTTTTTATCAAGCGATACCAAAATAAATTTAAAATTGAGTAGAGTGCCTCATTTTATCACCCATAGAAAATAATATCTGACCAGTCGAGCCGAGTTTGTTGCTCATAATATTATTGTTTCAGTAGATATAAAAATTGTTCTTTCTTAAAATATTCCTAGGTTTGTATATCTAACAAGCTGTATTTAACAGTCATCCTAGTATAGTAGAAACAGTGTGAGATTTGAGGTCAAACTAGCCTCAGTGTTCTAAATGAGTAATCATGAGCATTTTTAACCTTGCCAAAATGCAGTATATAAAATAGAAAGGATATCCACCTGCCAGGATGAATATGAGGATTAAATGAATCAGTAACAGTCATGTTTCTAGCATGGTATGTGGCACAAAACAGACCTTTGTTAATGTTAATCCTTTTCTTTTTTTGCAGCCTGTTAATCTATTCATTAAATTACACTTTAGAGCTCACACTCTAAATTATAGCTTATAATTATCACATTGTTACTTCTGTTGTTACATAGGCCAATACAGGTCTTTTGTTGCATGTATCAGCCAAACCTATAATTTAAAAGTTCTGCCTTACCATGTGCTTGCTATAATTTTAGGAATCACATTCTATCTAGTAATTACAACAAATCCTTCAGTTTCACCAAGTGACATATTTTGCTTCCTATCAAATTCAAACATAGATTTAGATATATATACACACTAAATACCGGATCATTTTCCCTCTTCTCTTGCTGAGCCTTGCTATGAAGTGTGTTTGGGATTATGTCGAGTAATCTTTTATGTTTAATAGGTAACACAAGAGTTATTTTAATGACCAATTAATTTATAAAACATTTCCAACTGACTTCCTAGAAAATTCACTGTTCAGTTTTAGATTCCTAGAGTGGTTTGAATTGTTGATGTTAATTACCCCCTTCCACCTTTGCTATAGCAGAGTGTGCATCTCAGTTTCAGCTTCTCCTATTATGCAGATATTACTAGGCAATTAACATCTTCCAAAAAAATAGAAAGAAAAATCATTGAGAGGTTGTTTTTCTTAATCTTGAATTTCTCTGAAAGATCTGAGTGGCCACAGAGATGCCATTTCTGCTGCAGTCCATTGGAATAACATGCCTGCAATTGTGTAGAGATAACTTGCATAGCCATGCATGGCTACCCTGTTGAAGTTGACATTCAGGCATGATATGATCACATCTATTAAAAAGTAATCTTCTTATCAAAATATAGTATTTATTAGCAAACATGATAAGTGTCTAAAAGAAAGCATTTAAAAAATGCTCCGCCTAGTGGGTGGAGAAAAAAAGATGTAACTCACACATTTCAATGAATTCTATTAACTCTGCTGTTACCTCCAGGTTAAGTTAGTATAAGGCTTTGATATGAGTCATTTACTAAATGTAACTGAATGGTCTGACAAATATTAATTCACCGGGAGAAGGGTGATTTGTTTCTTCCTCAATAGCAAGATTAAATCTACTCATTTAGACACCTGTCACTCACTAACAAGTCTCCAACACTCTCATAGTTATCACATGCTGTAATGCCAAACATAAAAGCCACAACTTTTGTGCAAGAGTCTAGTTGTCTCTAAATGAAAAAAACAGCTTGCATGCCAATCCCAATCCACGGATGTTGTTGTAGAAATACCTCACTGACCACAGAACTTTTTTAGATATTATAAGAATGGGTATTACCAAGGACTTAAAACATTACTCTTCCCAGCTGCAGGTATTGGGGAGGGGGTGCAACAGGAGAATACAGATTCCCAAAAAGTGGGTGGATTGAACAAGATTCATTCATTCACCTACTAACTGACAGGCACAGTTTTAAGGAGGAGAATACAAAGATGAATAAGACAGAGATGATCTCACTCACAGAAGAAAGTTCTGTACATTATTGATAAAGGAAAACCTAATGACAATTGTCACGGGTGTGGAGAAGCAATCAAGAATGGGTCAGTTCAAACAGCACATGAATCTTCATCGAAGTACCATAACTCTAGAGTCGGCTGAAACTCTGCTATGTTACTAAGTCTTGGTTTATATCACACAGGCATAGTCAAGATTACAAAAAGAACAATTGCCCAGACAATAAGAAAGACCTGATGAAAAAAAAAAATTTTTTTTGAGACAAAGTTTGGCTCTTATTGTCCAGGCTGGAGTGCAATGATACGACCTTGGCTCACTGCAACCTCTGCCTCCCGGGTTCCATCAATTCTCCTGCCTCTGCCTCCTGAGTAGCTGGGATTACAGGTGCCTGCCACCATGCCTGGCTAATTTTTTGTATTTTTAGTAGAGATGGGGTTCCACCATGTTGGCCAGGCTGGTCTCAAACTTCTGACCTTAGTTGATCTGCCTGCCTGGGACTCCCAAAGTGCTGGGATTACAGGCTTGTGCCACTGCGCCTGGCTTAGAAAAATAAATTAATGAGAAGAAGTGTTTAAGAAATAATTATTTCAAACTGCTTCAAACAATCCAAACAGAATGCCTCGTTTATTCCATAAATATGTATTAAGCTTCTATTCTGTCCAAATGTACCATCAGGATCTCAGAATCTACTGGAAGGAGACCAATATAAAATAATTTAATTCACTAAAGATGGGAACTTCTCTGATACATATGTCTAGAGGCTGAGTGCCCAGAGGAAACACTCTAAGCCCAAGTTGAGAGATTAAAAGGCATCGTAAGTAAAATATCTAAAATGTGTCTTGAAAGATGAGTAGAGTTAACTATTTCTTTCCGCCTCAAATAGATGAAGAAGTTTCAGGGTAAAAGCATAAAAGGTGTGAAACAGCAAGACATGCCATGGAAAAGCTACATTCCACTTACTTTTCTGAACCATGATATAGAGAGTTGCAAGAGAAGAGACAGCTGAAGTGAGTTGTAGTTTAAATAATGTATGCTGAGAAGCTTGAGCTTTAATTTATGGAAAACAATGAGTCATTGAAAGGTTTTAATTCAGAGAGTCAGACCACTTTTGTTTTTTCAGACTGATCTTTTTTTTTTTTTTTTGTGGCGGGGTCTTTCTTTGTACCCCAGGCTGGAGTGAAGTGGCATAATCTCGGCTCACTGCAACCTATTCCTCCCAGGTTCAAACAATTCTTGTGCCTCAGCCTCCCAAGTAGCTGAGACTACAGGCATGCACCACCATGCCCAGCTAATTTTGTACTTTTAGTAGAGATGGGGTTTCACCATATTGGCTGGGCTGGTCTCAAATTCCTGACCTCATGATCCACCCACCTGGGCTTCCCAAAGTGCTGGGATTACAGGTGTGAGCCGCCATGCCCAGCCCGAACTGACTCCTTCTTTTCTTTCGTTCTTTCTTTCTTCTTTTGAGAGAGAGTTTTGCTCTTGTTGCCCAGACTGGAATGCAATGGTGCAATCTCTGCTCACCACAACCTCTGCCTCACGGATTCAAGTGATTCTCCTGTCTCAGCCTCTCGAAGAGCTAGGATTACAGACGCCCACCACTATACCCAGCTAATTTTTTATATTTTTAGTGGAGACAGGATTTCTCCATGTTGGTCCGGCTGGTTTCGAACTCCTGACCTCAGGGGATCCACCTGCCTCAGCCTCCCAAAGTGCTGCCATTACAGGCATGAGCCACCGTGCCCAGCCAACATTTTTTATACATTCCTCTTGCTACAGACTAAGGAGACAGACCTATCACAGGAGCTAGTTTGGGTCTTAGATGCCCAATCCTCCCACCAATATTATGATTTCAGAAACAGGACTTTTCACAGATTCGTCATTTGGTTGTTTCAATTCCCTCTCTCGAGACTGGTTGGACAAGAAGATCTTGAGGTTAGATTTTGACAAGGGTCCTCATCTATCGACTGCCCTCTGCCCTCTTCCCTGCCTACTC